TACGTTCATTGGACTTTTCATTCAATTTGATCCAGAGCGAAGATGAAGTATAAAACGCTATTTATAATGTTTTTTTCCTCCCCCGCTGATGAAAACAACATTTGTAACGGTAAGAGTGGTTCTCCCTTTGGGGACTTCACTTTATTGTATTAATGTCCAAATGTCGTTTGTCGATAGTTTGCACGGGATAATTTTGCCCATTATTTTTTCGTTGAAATAAGCTTTTGTCCATTGAATGGCAAAATGTGTCCCAGCTCTTAAATTATTCCACAAATTTTTGTTCATTTAGAGCAGCAAAAATTACTTGGCATTATAAAGCTTTTGTTTTGACCAAAATACTTAACATTAGGCGCAGGCTTCAAAGTACATGTGCGTATGAATAGTTGTAACATGCAGTGAGGCCTACTAAACCATCATGTGAACGGAAAATCAACTATCAACCCGAAGAACTTACGAAAAGTTTAAAATACTTCTTTGTTCAAGAGAAAAACTTGCACAGCATATGCAGATTAAATATTCCGTACTATCTTACCCCTTTTAATTGTTAAGCGGGGACAAAGCCTATTCCTGCGGAGTATATTCAGATGTAAATGCTCGTGTTTTGACCGGGGTTGGCTACTGTTTAACCCGTAGTTGTTATTTTCAGGAGTTTTCTATTGTCAGTAAAACACGACACTAAAGACAAAAGAGATACAAACAACAATCATTCAGAGCATGCAGATAACATTCCTAAACCCCGGATGACGGAGCACAACCGCCCAACACAAAGTGGCACCAACTCTAAGGCGAACCAACACAAACCAAGCGCACATTACGAGATAACATCCCCAGGCCTCCGTTTCACTGCGCACAATCTCAGGACTGAAGCTGCAAAGAAAAACTGAAAACTTTCAACGTTTTTTGTTTTCGTTTGGAACTTCATACCAGAAGAAAAAGAGCATCCCTGCGTGCTAACGACGACGTGGAGGATACAGATATGGACGATAGTCAAGGACAGTCAAAATTTTCCGTCAATTTTGCATTGTTTGTTGCTGGGTATAATGGTGTTCCTGTTCATATTTGTTGGACTGGCTCGTCTGTGGTATGTTGCTTTGATTTTTCCTATAAAGGAGGAGGGCTCGCTAGTAAAATAAGAATGTTTTTAAGATAGGGACGTATGGTTTACACTGTACTGATTGCTAATGAGTAGCATTTTTTCAAACTCACCATGAACTTAACTTCAGCAGTATAAGTCATTTTTTACATATCGTTTGCGGGGAGGGAGGGGGGGGGGGCCAGTAGCACTGAGTCGACTATAAATAATGACCAGCCTTGCAAACGAAAAGAAAGCACATCATGTCGCTAGAAGTTTTGTAGTATAGCACGTCTTTCTGTTTTATTGGCTGATATATGAATAGGTTTGCGCTACGATAGACTACGTTGTGTATCCAGAATCGCGCGTATTTTCCCATAGGATCTTGTAATACAAAGAGAGAATGAGCTAAATCATTCCCTCTTAGTAATACCTATTCCTAAGTCTCTTTACAAGATGCTATTTGCAAGTTGAGAGAAATCAGCGTATGTTTGATTCTCTCTCGTCTCATTGTCCACTCAATCGGTTTTTTCGAAACCTTTCGTGTATTCTCCTGTCCTTCACCATCGTTCAGGACAGCATTTTTTTTTTTCTGTAAGTTTAATTGCAGGAGATGGGTAAGAAAGTATGCTTCAGCAAGCAGCTTAGTGAGGAAGAGCTACTCTTGTAGAGGACCAATCAGAACTGCGGGACACGGACATCAAGGGAATCTGCTGGTCATAAAACCGAACCAAATCTGCCATCTTACCAACTGCTAGCAACACTTTTCGATGCCCGATCTCCATGGACACTGACTTTTTCCCTAGAGAAAACCTTCGCGTGCAGGTCTATATTCCTGACCCAAATCTAGTGTCTGAACTGCTTCTACCTTTGTTGACCTCTCTGAATCCAGTGCAGTTTATGTTGTTATTGATGTTTCTGAAGCCGACTCCTGCGCGGTTGTTGATATTTCCGGCCGACCTGAGTTCTCTGGACACCTCTTTCACCTGCTCGTCCTTATCTCATGATACATTATGCAGCATCAGATAAGGAAGAGCAGGTGAAACAGGAAAACCACCAAAGTTCCGTAACATTTCTTTTGTGATTCTCCTATACTTCTGCATCTCCGCGAACACTTCTCAATAGATTAAAGCCTGAGTCTAAGTCGTGTTTATGGTTTTTACGTACTTTCTAGAAAACCTATGGTTTAAGACATCCAGGGGGAACGACGTATGGTAAAGTAGTCACATTGATTTCTGTAAAGCTAAACGACTACGTGAAATTTAACTTTGCAAGACATCAACACGACACCGAAAGAACCCAAAACAAAGCGGGGTAGCCGTAGACTGCTGTTTTGCCATATTTGTGGCGAGACTATCAGTACGGCGCAAGAACAGAGAAGCACGGATGAAGAATACCCGAACTCGATGTGTCTACCTAGTGTATATTTTTGCTGATCGGGTCTTTTTAGATCCTACGTTCCAGCATATCGTAAAATTCCGAAAATAAGCCCCTCCATGTACAAGCCCCTCCAAATCGTAACGCAAAAAACCCTCCGTTTAATCGCCCCTCCGAATATAAGCCCCCCGGGGGGCTTGTACATGGAATTTGCTCTCGAATACAAAGTAAAACAAAGCAAAAAATGGCAAATTTCCTTCCCACTACAAGCTAGCCCAATCGATTTGAAAACGCAAATTTCCCTCCGTACATAAGCCCCTCCGAATATAAGCCCCTCCAAAAATAAGCTCCCAAAAAGGGCCTTTGAAAAATACAAGCCCCGGGGCTTATTTTCGGAATTTTACGGTATTCGTTTGCGGTCCTTTTGCAATTTTAATGTGAATTTATCGTAAAGTAAACTTAACCAGTAAAACTTGAAAAAATAAATCTAAATGGTTTGGTCACGTGATCGACCACGTCTTCCATTGTTATAAACTTTTAATAAACGATTTCCACCACTTGCCAAATTTGAGTCTCTTTTTTCACACACGTATAGTACAAAGCGGTGCGACCAAAGAGCTTAGCTGGGACTGTCATGTCGATACGATCTGTGAAAAGGTTAGCGCGGGTATAGGAGCCTTGCGGCACATCAATTTTTCTTTCCCGTAGCTACTCTGGAAACAGTTTATAAGGGCTTAGTTCAGCCATATTTTGAGTACTGTTTTCCCTTGTGGGATACCTGTGGCAAACCATTGAAAGATAAGCTCCAACGATTTCAGTCACGTGCTGCCAGAGTTCTTACAGGTGACAGTTATGATATTCGCTCCCCAGACTTCATTGACTCTCTTTCTTGGCAAACTCTTGATGATTGACGGCGCTCTGCAAAGTCAACTGTAATGTATAAAATATTCAATGATCACCCCGCCCGCGGCTTAAGGAACTCTTTTGTTTGAAGGAATGTCGATCAGACTAATTACCATCCAGGTAACACGGTTACTGATCTAACATTTCCTGAACCGAAAAGAGAGTTTCTAAAAGGAAATTTTAAATTCAGCGGTGCTATGCTTTGGAACCAGCTGGGGCCCGTTTCTCGAAAGTCCCGGTAATTTACGGGCCCGTTAACTTACCGGGACTGTTATCGGGAAATTTTATCGGGCCGGAAGTTGCGTTTCTCGAAGCATTCGTAAACTTAACTCTGAATAGAGCAAGTAAAAAGGCGAACTAGCACATCGTTTCGTTTTAATTCTGAAACTGCTTACCTGCGTCTCCACGGAAAGCGGACAGCTCCGCGACGTTTTTCTCTGCACTTCTCCACAAGCCAATTTATTCTCGCCGAGGATAACCTGAACCTCTCTATGACTTCGCATTCGCCCATGTTAAACAAAACTGTTCGAACTTGGTAAGTCCGAGGTGTGCGAACCGGGCAAAATAGTCTGCCTGCGGCAGCCATGTTGTTTTTGTTTGCAAAAATGTTGCCTCCCGCTAACTTTACGGGAGCTTGCGTGCTCCCGTAAGTTTACGGGAAAATTAGCAGGCGCGACCAAACTGGAAGATTCGAGAAACATCCGATAAGTTTACGGGAACTTACCGGGCGACTTACCGGGCTCGATAAGTTACCGGGACTTTCGAGAAACGGGCCCCAGCTCCTGAACGAAACAAAGATCACTGAGTTAACCTCTTCATTTAAAAACCTTATAGAGTTTAGTTGGGTGTTGACAAGCTGTGTATCTTAATAGTGCATGGTTACTTTTTATAAGACTTACATAAAATAGCAATAGTAGGTAGTTGTTAAAATAGTGATAAGTATCTATATGTGTTAAGGTCCCCTCCATAGAAACCAGCCAAGTTATTGGGAACAGTAAACGGCGATCTCAAAATCCTTCGAAATCGCTAAAAAAAAAAAACGTTTTTGAGGCAAAAGGACGACTATATACCACAGGTAAGCTAATTCAACGTTTACAGCTATTTCTAGAAAGGTTGTCGGAAAAACTGTGTACGCGACAATCCCGAAAGGTAATATGGGATATGATCAATACACTGTTCCTGACAACTGTAGCTGTCAAACCTACTTTTATTGCTTTCCTTTAGCACTCGCAAACATACGTCCATGGCGTCTCTTGCCATTGTTTGAAATTTCTTTGAAAAACAGTGAACTAAAAACCACCCACAATGCCTTTCGGGTTGCCGCGTGCACTTTTTTCCGACAACCTTTCTCGAAATAGCTGCATATAACATGGTTTATATACATACTCGGAGATGAATCGCTATGGGTGAGGCAAAAGGTAAATTCAGTACATTTACTATAAAATAACTTCGGTTACACATACAGATTTATATGGTAGCCCTGTGGTACCCGGAAGAGAACTTGGAACGTCGCCAGTGGCGTCCTCTTCATTAGGCTTAGGTAATTTGAATCAAACGTAGATTTCTTCTGATAACAGGTAACCTTTGTTGTTGTCTGCGACGATTTTATAAGCCCAGAGGATGTGCATTTTCGAGTAACAATGTTTGGTTAATCTGTTTCACCGAAAACCGCAACCATCGAAGAAACAGCACATTTTTTAATTGCTTGAAACTTTCCCCATAGTTATTAGAGGAGACTCGTTATGAAAAGCGGTAAACATCAATGATAAAAACAACAGTGCTGCAGTTTATGTTGGAAGCACCCTGAAAGTGCACGATCATTTGTTTTCTGTTGGCAAATTGTTACGGAATAAATTAATGCAACGTTTTTATTGGTCAATACAATCAAAATGATAGGAATTCTTTTGAACGTTTTGCACTTTCAGGTCCACAAAAACATATAACAGAGGAGTCTGACGGGTTTCATAACCATTCCACTCAATTAACTATGCTTTCCCGTTGTAGGTAGACCAACAAAGATAGAATAAAGATTAAAGGGTACTTCTTGTGTTTCAGTGCTGCATGTACTTGCTGATCTTGTTATGAAGGCTGTCGTAGCCATGATGCTGGTAGATACATAGCCTACATTTGTAATCAAGGAATGGGACTTGTTGACGATAAAAGTCCATACTTCTGGTTCAATCAGTTTCTGCACTGGGTCTGGTACTGCGATTAAGCGCTTTTGAAGTAGTGCCCATGTGCTGTCTGGTTGTTTTCGAAGTTTGGTGAGACGTGGGCTAGATGAATAATTTCCCTCTTCAGTATTTTGCAAAAAAAACGTTTTTTTTTTTTTTTCAACGACAGTTAAAGATAGCGTAAGAGTAGCGTGAGAATGCCACGTTCGAATTTTTGCCTGCCATTTTAAAACGTGCGAATAGTCAAAATGAAGTTCAGTCTCGCGCTCGCGTGGTTAAAATTAAAATTGAGTCACTAAAATGGATATGATCATGTTAGATGTTAGTAGGCATTCGATAAAATACCCCATCAACGTCTCATTAGCAAATTGCAGTTCTATGACATACAGGGAGGTACCCTTGCTTGGATCAAATAATGGCTCACCAGTAGATCAGTGGCAGTGTGTCATAGTCGATGGTGTGTGTTCGAAATCTGTAGTAGTGACTTCAGGGGTGCTAGAAGGCACAGTAATCGGTGCATTGATGTTTTTTATATGCAAGATGATCTAGTATGTACGCTAAGATTGCTTGCTGTTAAAGCTTTACTGCATCATAAAATCTTTCATAATGATGACACCTTGGCTTTACAGTGTGACCTAGACAAACTAGGCTTATGGGCTGATAGGTGCCAGATGGTGTGTAAACCCACCAAATGCTACAAAATATTTCTCTATCGGAGTAAATCTCCGAAATAAAAGACTACACCCTTTACAGCCAAACCCTGGTAGCTGTCCAGCAACATCCCTATTCGGGTGTTTTGCTGTCCAGCCATTTACGGTGGAACTCTCATGTGGACGAGATTGCCAAAAAGGGGAATTCTACACTCACATTTGTGAAAAAAATCTTGTACGCCTGCTTAGAGGAAACAAAACAGCAGTATATGTATCACTTGTCAAGCCAAACCTAGAGTACTATAAAGTTCCGAAAATAAGCCCTGGGGCTTATATTTTTCAAAGGCCCTTTATTTTTGGTGGGGCTTATCTACGGAGGGAAATTTTCGTTTCAAAACGGATTGAGTTAGCCTCATAGTTGGAAGTAAATTTACCGTTTTTGCTTTGTTTTACTTTGTACTTGAGAGCAATTTTCCAAGTACAAGCCCCCGGGGGGGGGCTTATATTTGGAGGGGCGATTTAACGGAGGGTTTTTTGCGTTACCGGTTTGAGGGGCTTATATTTGGAGGGGTTTATACATGGAGGGGCTTATTTTCGGAATTTTACGGTATGTGACTGCAGCATGGGATCCTTACAGACAGAATCAAATGGAGAAACTAAAAGCAGATTAAAGTCGTGAAGTGGGATTTATTAAACGTTATTACGATTATAACACCAGAGTTTCCAAATTAAAAAAATCTCTACCTTCGGAATTACTAAGGGAGAGACGAAAATCCCATCGCGTACAAATTTTCCAGAAAATAGTGTACAATGATATTACTTTGCCTGTTCCACCTTATTATAACCCGTCCGTTAGGGAAACAAGAAATCATTCGACGAACTTATTTATTCAACGATCTGTAGAACATCATGATTACGATAAGTATAGTTTCTTTCCGAGAACTAAAAGGGACTTGAACTGTTTATTGCCTGAAACCAGAGCAATTAATTATTCAGCATTTTGCAGAGCAAAATTAAGTAAAATTATTTGAACTTTTCTTTTGAGTGTAGCGATCATATTAATTACAAATTTTTTTAATGTTATTTTTTATTTATATTTATATTTTTGTTTCTTAACTCTTCTTGATGTGTAAAACGTTGAAGAGTAATGAAGCAGATGTAGTTGTAGAGTAGTTTCAGTCCGTGTAGGAAGTTTGTTTTTAAGTGCGTCAGCGCAAGGAACGTCCGAACCCGAGTTGGCGGGGGGGGGGGGGCATTCTCTACAAGGGCCTACGCGGGGGGGAAAATTGACACAAAATAAAAAAAACAAAAAAAGAAAAAAGAGACTAGGCTCTCCCCCAATTTTCGACGGAAAAGCCACCCCCTCCACGGGCTATTTTAATGATAACGGNAGGGCCTATAGGGGCTAACATATGAACTTTAAGGCCTTTTACAGTCAGGTAAACGTTCTATTGTTGCGATTGATTTCTTTTTAAAATATAGTGTATTGACTGCAGTTAAACGGTCCGGAATATCCCTAGCCTGCGAGCGAGAGGCGAAGCCGTGAGGGGGTGAGGAAAGGAGAGCTCTCCTTTCTCTCGTCTCCTCTCGCGTGCCTCTCGCGCGTCTACTTTTCACGATATCCCCCAAATGGAGAGCTTCAACCCCGGACAAAACTGTTGAGACAATTCCATCTATTTTCTAACTTTTGCGCCCTACTCCCGTCTCCCCTAAACACAAAAAGTAAACCCCCTCCCCACCCCCTATTCAAAGTTGCCTTAGTCTAAAACCAAAGTGTATAATTGCCATGCTATCCTAAACAACTTTGGATAAGGGGAGGGGGGAAATCGGGCATTCATTTGGCGGAGGTTTCAGTTTTTGCCGGGATGACAGGAAAAAATAGGCATTTTCGCGATTTGTCTCAACAGGTTTTGTCCGGGGTTGTTGCTCGAGGGCTAGAATATCCCTAAATTTAAGGACAGGGCCAACTGGTCTCGCGACACTGTTCAACCAATGAGAAGGCGCGCTTGTGTTTATCCAACCATTGGCCCAGTGGTCGAAAATTTTTACAACAGCGGACGCAAAGTTCTAAACAAGGTACGTGAAAGGAGTACCCCCCCCAGGCGTCTGAGGCAAGCTGTATTTGTGTCCTGATAACGCCTTAGCATGCGAGCAAGCTCTCCTATTTGGGCCCCTCGCTCGCGCGTTCTCGCGAGGCTCGCTTCGCTTGCCCAAATAGGAGAGCTCGCTCGCAGGCTAAGAAAGCCTTTGTAGTAACAACGCTTGGGAAAGGTAGTTTTATTTAAGTTCATTAGTACGCTCCTGGTACGCTGTGGGCGCGGTCCAGTCGACCAAAATTTCCAGAAATTTCGGTCCAAAAGTCAATGGATCGGTTCGGTCCAACTAGAAAAGTTTCACAAAAAAACTGGTCCACCTCAAAGGGTGGACCACTTTGCCCGGTCGGACCGGTCTGAATTTTGGTTGTACGAATCGCCACCCCATATCCATGTATGTGTATGGAACTGTCTTGGCTGGAACAGTTACGTAAAACACTGCGGTATGGCTAGTAGCTTACGCATGCGCACAGCCAAAGCAGAAATAGCAACCCTTAGGGTAGATGATAGGGCGAAAGAAAGAAAGGGGAGAGGAGGAAGGGATAAAAAAATTTCTCTTCTTCCCGCCCATTTCCCGCTTCCTTTTACTCGTGGTCCAGTCAAATTGTGGTTTAGCATCAAAGTAATTGCAACATAACTTTTTTCAACGCCATTTAATAGTTGGATGGTTATTTAACAACATACTAAAAATCCGCCAAAATTGGTCAGTGAAAGATATGAAAAATTGGAAATAAAGATTTTTAACTTTCGCCACAAGAAATCCAGTTTCAGGAAGATCACAAATTCAGACAAAACATCTGATAATTGTGTGTTTTTTTTCCTCAAGAATTTTCGATACAACATCGCTAATCTATTTTGGGTAGTTTTGTTTTAAAAGAACGCCGACTAAATGTATGAGGAACACCTGGGTCAGTGTTTCGTCTTGAGGGCTTTGCACAGGTTACCCAGCCACTCGTTTGTCTTCACATTCTGTTTTCCAAGCTTTAATGTTTTGTTCTATGACGGTATTTAAAAGGGAAATTATTAGTCAGTCTCAGGCTCCTGTCAGTCTGTGTTAACATGGTTAAAAATATAAGTAATTTTTTTTTGTGCAATATCAGAAATGCAGTACGTATTTTGGCAGTATCACTGGCTGGTAATTTTTTAGATATCTGCAGTACGGATGCACATTTAGTAGCTGACTGATGGTCAACAGTTGATTTGATCACCTTCGGTTAGCTCCTAAATTTGTATCCATGCTGCAAGATACGTGCGACTAGATGTGTGCAACGGACGGTAGCTTTGTATCAGTACAAGCTGTTTAACCTATTCCCATTTTCTGTAATAGTGTTTTGTGAGGTAGTTGTGTTAAAACCTTGGACACAGTATGTGTAATCGAAATAAGGGACTCCTTTTTTTTTCTCGCGACATGCGCAACCTCCTTTAGGATTATGACTCCGTGCTTTACAATGTGAGTGAATAAATATTCTGCTCAGGACTCCTTCTATTTGGTTTATGCTAGATCGTAACGCTCTGCGCTTTTAATTCTGTTGTAAGGGAAATCCAGAAAACCAAGCGCAGTGTGATTGTTCTTTTTTAATTTTCTTCTTGTAGCGAGTCTCTGATTTAGTTTAGTGTATCTGTGTATTCAGTTTGTATACACTGCGACAGCCCTTCATTTCCTGCTAAGATAAATAAGTAGATTAATGGCTCTGTGGTCTAAAGGCGTTTATATTCCCTCCTTGCATTTCTTTTGTGAGAAAAACCCTAAACCTTGACCAGTTTTTTTTTTCGTCAATTGGCAAATGAAGACCTCTTTTTCGATAACCATCATGGGATCCTAGACGTCTGAAAATAATTGTAGTGGTCAATGAAGGCGCGAAAGTACTGGACATATGTACGACATTAATGGGCTTTTCTGACTTAGCTTCTGATGGCTCACCTCTTTTTGCGGAACCAATGTTTCTCTTCGGATGAGCGTTGTGTAACACTTCAACTTAGTGCATGTTAACCTTCTGACTGAGTTAGGTGAATTACTCCATAGACTCTTACAATATATTTTTACGTATGCATTGTTTTGGCTACCCAGAGTTAATCTTTCCGTTAAAAACAAGCTTCCCTATTATACTATTTCGTTTTCTTGAAACAAACGTTTGGTGGAACCAAAGTTATTATGCGATGAATGTTCCGTTAACCCTTACAATTTTTTTGGCGAAGGTAACTACACTTTTCCTTAAATGAAAACGCATTTCTCTCTTATCAAACTCATAGGCATTGGAGCTTAACCTGTTCAAAAACTTTGCATTGTTGTGCATCATAAAGAATTAGTAAAACTATCCTCCCCTCTTCTCCAATTTACTCTTAACAAGAAGAAAACAAAAAGCTTCAAAAAAGTGAAATTTGTTTATTTGAGGATGTCGATACGTTAACGAAAATTAATGTAAAGGTAACCGTAAAAGCCAAAGCATTATCTTGCTGGATATTTGAAAAAGTACCGAACGAAAATTGCACTCTTTTGACTGAGAAAAGGACCAAAAGCCGAAGGCAAAATAAGCCCGAAAATCCTGCTAGAAAAGAACGAGGAAAGGGAAAATAAAAAGAGCGAGGAGAAAGAAAGGAGGAGAAGAAAAAAAAAAGCAATGGCTGCACTCCTAGTTTTTGTGCTGACTTCTTTGGAGTTTTTGAAAGAAAAAGGCTGTTTGAGGAGAGACTTCTATTTTGGCTGTTAGGTTATTAAAAAATCCAGCTCTAAGATATATAAATTTTTCTTACCCTTGTGGCTAATAGAAATTTGACACAAAAAGAATATATTTTAAAAGCTAATAATTAAGTAACAGATTTCATTTTTCAGGTTTGTTGTAGTTTCACAGCCAACAGTTCACTCAATTACTCTATAAGCCTCCTGTTATTTTGGGGTTCCTTGATTGGAGCATGGACTTCCTGTGCAAAAGCCAACTGTGTTTAATATTCATTTTGTTTGAAAAAAAGAAACTCTTCGTTTTTAATTTTTTTTAATGACCGAAAACTAGGTAGCAGTTATTCTTTCTTCTTTCACTTTTCCATAAAAGTAACAAACACATTTTGTGCATTTTTTGTTGGAACGTTTAATTTCACCTAAATGGGTTCCCTGTGTTAAAAGCTCAAAATGTTTAACGCTGAATTTTGACATGTTGCACCGAACGGATTTCGGCGGATTTTTAGCATGCTACTAGATAGGTCACCAAAACAATTCTGTTGCAATTAGTTTGATGTTGAGCCTCAAAAATGCCTAGATTGATTGCCCATTTCCTCCTCCGTTTCGAGTTTCATGGCGCTTCCTGCAGCAAAAACGTTCGCGGGCCCGAAGAAATCGTCTGAACTACAGGCTACTGAAGGATTTGCTAGCTTATTCGTGTAAAAGTCACGCCAATATAATATTTTCGGTCGGTGAGCATCCGTGACATGAGTGACATGGGTGCGGTCCCTCCTTGTGGGATGGTTTTGGGGGAGTTGCTCAGTCTCGCGGGCTCAAAACCTTCCCTCAAAACGCTTTTGCAGAAGAGGCGACGATGGGCGAAAGTAATGTGGTCCAGTTTCATGGTTTCTTTTTCGTTACTGTTGTTAACATGAGCGTCGTTACGGCTATAGCAAAGAGCTCTCCTTCTCACAGTGGAATAAACGTGGAGCTTGCGAAGACTTTCCCTCAAAAGAAGACTTGATGAACGTCAACTCGCTTTTGCAACTGGGAAACAGCTGAACAGGAGCGGAGTTATTCATTGTCTGAAGGTAAGCTTAAAAAGCTCTTGAAATTGTCAATGAACTTCTTTGAAATTGATTGTAGACTTTCCAAGAATTTTTTTTTACAAATATAAATGGTCCGTTTGCCTAATTTGCTGTCGAATCGAAGTTCGCAGTTATGATGATGCAAACCATGGCGGCATATTCCCCACATGTGTGAAACTCGAGCAGCACCGACGAAAATGCTACTGCTTCCAGATTGATTTATGAGCTTTCTTCCTGGTTAATCGTGACAAGAGGACATTTAAAGGTAAGTAGTTATTATGGAAGTCGATTATATAGCCAGAAGGTAGGCGAATTCAAAAACATATGCACGAAAGAGTAGGTTGTTTTCCTCTGCTGCTAGGATATATATCGGATTTCAGTTTTTCAGTTAACAGAACATACACGGTGTTTTGAACTGAGAGAGAGCGGCTGTTTGGTGTGTGGATGTTTTCTGAAGTCTCATTGGATGAATTTTCTTTTCAAGTTCCCTGATGTCCGGTCTCTGAGCTAAAAACCTGACTGGGAAGGTTGTTTTGATAAACCTTTTAGAGGCCGTGTAGGCCGTGTGAGAAATTACAGCATATGAGAAAGTAATGTTAAATAATTTTCGTGAAATGTCTGTTCAGGAAAAAATATAATTGTAAACTGAAGCCTCACTCCTGAGGACTCTGCTGAAAAATTGGAGGGCGTTATATGCAGCTAAATGCGTTAGAACTGCGTTATTCGACGTTAGATTCTCTTAGAAACACTGGAATTTCTCACGCGGTTTCCGCTCTTGTCAAGATGACGATGGCTTCTAAAACCGTGACAAGGTCTATTGTTGTGACGCTTCAACAACGTCTGTCGATGATAGCTTCGCAGCTTCAGTTAGGGAAAGCTAAATGGGGCATTTGTTGTCAACTTTATTTATGATGCAAATCATAAGTATTAGGATCTTCTTTGAGTTGCATTTGTAGAGGGGAAATTGTCTCTTGATTTAGGAAGTATAAGAATAATGCAGAAAATAGAAACATGCCTGAAAATAATCACACACGCAAAAATTCTTCAAACTGGAAGTTTCTTTCTGGTATTGCTTTGTACAGTTTGTAAGGCCTATTAATAAGGCGACAAGCACTAGCGTGATCTGCGTCAAGGGCAATGCTGAAGGTGGGATTCGTTTTGTGAAACGCAGAAAAAAACTTAATGTAGTACCAAGCAAAAGTACTGGGTAAGAGGTTTCACTTGTCTGTGTGGCAGGCGTGGGTTTGTTTTTTAGGGTAAAGGAAGAAATCTTGAGGATGTGCCAGGGGAGAACAGTGATTTTGTTACAAATAGCTATGGTGGGTCCTGGGACTCATCTTGTGAAGAATCATGAGTTCCAGTCCAGAACCAATGAGACCCAGTTAACAAAAAAAAGAGTCTGCGGGGCTAAAAGTTTAAATATGAGTTTGCAGCACTTGCGCTACCAAATGTAAATTTTTAAGGTGCACTGCCAAAACTTTAGGCGCATAGCTGAAAATTTTAGGAGTACAACTTACATTGTTGGGAGCATAACAGTGGCATATTTATATGTGGTTAAAAATAACTGACAGGCATCACATGACTTCTGCACTTAGTCATATTGGAAGTAATAATATAGTTTTGTATAAGGTGTCATTTCCCCATAAGTATTCTCTTCAGGCTCAGTAAAGCCAGGTGGTATTGTGTAACAAAAGGTAGAAGTTTTTTGTGTGCAGATATGTTTCTCTGTTCTGGGGCTGTTTTCCTGTTGGCAGTTTTTACCGCAGAGAGGTACTTTCTTAAAATAGCGGCAGGGTAGCTTGCTCTAACAGTGTAAAAAGGGGATCGGTAGGTAACACACCACTTTTACCTCATGCCAAAATGCTGCTTGTTCCAATAATTTGTTTTCTTTTTCTCTGACGGTAGATTATGCTCTGGGGGAAAACGTTTTGCCTGATCAAATGTGATTTTTGCTGCTTATTTCAAACTGAGAGGTCATGACACGCATATTGATTTTCTGCAGTTATTGTTTCCTGTTGGTATGATTTTTTTTTTGTAATTTAATCACTGTTTATTTCAATTTATTGCCTTACAATAATAACATTAATTTTACATACATTACCAACATTACAATTTTTCAAAAAATAATACACAAATAACTCACACACGCACGCACAGCACACACGACACACAACGACAGTATCAATACCACTAAACCTTAACAAGTATTTGTCGGCAATTATGTACCACCTGTCAAGAGAGCTTGCCATTTTGATTAATGAAAAGACATTTTATTCTTCAATTTGGCAATGATAGTTTCTATTATTGATAAACGTTAGTGAGTGTTGCCAAGAAAACCCGTAAACAAGGGTTTGTTTTCATACATCTGCAATTATATATATACTGCTTACCAACTAGCAAAATATGATTAAAAAATAAATTGTCTTTATGTACCTTTATCCTAAATAATATATCTTTAGCAGAGAGATGGTTAATAACCACCCCCGATTGCTACACCATTTAATAACTTCTGCCCAAAAACACTGAGTAATCAGGCAAAGGACAAAGAGGTGTTCAAGGGATTCATCTGCCCCATCGCACAGAGAACATCGTGGTGATGAAGAAATACCAATTTTGTTTTAAAAAATCACTGGTGGCCAGATATCTGTGTAACAATTTATATTGAAATTCACGTGACTTAGTGTCAAGGGCAACCTGGTAGGGTAAGCTGTAAATTTCTTTCCAATTTTAATCATCATTTTCAAAAAATTCAACATATTTCTTTTGTGCAGTTAGTTTTTTTTATTTCTCAGTCTCTTATTTCTTTATAGATACCTTTTGAGTCAGTATTACTTAGTAAAACTTCTTTGAGAGATAAAAACAACTGAGTCTGCTCGTGAAGATCGAAAGAAACAAGGCGATCATATCCATAACTCTTCAATGCATGATACCAGTCCTTTGGAGTGCGTCGAACACTGAAAAAAGTTGAAATGCGTCCAATGGGGATAAATTTAACTCCCTTAACTTGCTCGTTATGATTTCATTGTTTTCAGCAATAAGATCCCCTATTCTTACAATTCCCTTATCTACTAATCTTTTGTTGAAAATGGTTTTACCACCAATTAAGGTGGCTGAACACAGTTTACAGTTACACAGGTAACTCGCTTAACGGCGTGTGTTTTAAATTACACAAACAAACATGGCGGGGAAAAGCAATGGTACAAAGAAGATGATTTCTTAAAATCTACTCATTAAAATTTTGCAATATTTGGCAGAATTTTTACTTTTATCGTATTTTGAATAATGAGAACTTAAAAATGGAAGTTGAACAGATGAATTTTGTGACACATTTAATAATTACCCTACAATTATATAATTGATTATCTAAAAACCGGTCTGTTAAAATTTGGTCAAATAAGTTTCTAATGGTAATGATTAATTATTATAGTAAGCTGTGTGCAAGTTTATAGGAAAATTTAGTGAGCGAATTTTATGTTAACTGAGCAAAAGTGAAATTTTAAGGTTGTATTTAATGGTTCATGTTGCCATGGAAACTACGAGAACATTACATTTTACCTGTCAATCAAAATCTTTCATCAGTTTATTTTTCACTTGCCAAGTTTCAGCTTGTGAGCTGCAACCTTTCTCTTGCCATTATTTGGCAAATGACATATGCTCACAAACTGCCAAAACTGTGTTCAGCCACCTCAAGATCTAACAATTATTCCACAGAATGATCTTTGAAATATCCACTGCATTAATATTGTCTAGACTAACCTTGTTTGCTGCGGAGCATCGCAAAAAATCCTTTAAACATTCCTCATAAAAACCCGGAAGCTTGATAGGCAGCTTTTTTACGTCGAAGTTGCAGCCAAGGATAAATTTGCCACCTACTGGTGTTAGGTGCAGAAGAAGAATAATTTTCCAGCTACTAAGGTCTTCACTTGCGAGCTTTTTACAGCTTAATATTCTTTGAGTTTTAATAATAGAATCCAAGTGTGGAGCTTTCAATCCTCCATCTTCAATGTCCCCAATGAGCACACGACGTTTCACTTTGTCTTCACCTTTCCAGATAAAGTCAAATATAATTTTGTTTACTTCATTTACAAATTCCTTATCCATACAAATTAAGCTAGCACGGTATAAGAAAGTGGGGATAATAAATGTTTTGACCAGTTGAATTCTACCAATGATCGTCTGAGACGGGGATCATACGTGAAAATAAAAGTTCCCTAAAATCTTTACGGAAATCTTTATCTTTAGGTCTTTGAAAGGAGTATGATTAAGGTTGGGGGCGTGCGGAAAGAGTTTCCAAGTAACAATATTTCCGACTTATCATGGTTTATAACGAGACCAGAGCATTTACCAAACAGCAACACAAGTTCGAGGAGCTTTATTAGAGATTTGTTGTTCTTTAAAAACCCTTTTAAATCATCAGCAAATAGCCCTAATTTGATCTCCTGACCATCCCCCATGATACCTCGAATATCATTGTGTAACCTTATCGTTGAAGCCAAAGTTTCTAACACGATAATAAACAGGTGCAGAGAAAGAGGATCCCCCTGCCTAACGCCACGCTGAATGTCAAAATGCGTGGTAACAAAACCATTGTTTGAAACACAGCTAGAAGTATTATTATAAAAAGTGTGAATCCATTGGATAAAAGAAGAGCCAAAACGAGCAGCAGATAGGGTACGAAAAAGAAATTCTCTGTTTACAGAATCAAAAGCCTTTTTGAAATCTATAGCTATCAATCTTCCATTGATTTTAAATCTCTCGGTGCACTCTAAGATGTCTTCTACTGTTCTAACCGCATCAAAATTAATAGTCCTACCTTTAACATATGCACACTGGTTAAAATGTATAATACTGGGCAGGACACATTCCAGTCTTTTAGCGATCGCCTTCGATCCTATTTTAACGTCAACATTGATCAGAGATATTGGTCTCCAGTTAGATATGGCTGTGTCTTATAATATTATAATTGCTTTCTTTTGTGAGTTTGATAATTCTCCAACGTCATAAGAGTAGTTGAGGCTGGCTACTAGTAATTCCCCAACTATGTTCAGAAAAAAATTTGTAAAATTCAACTGTTAACCCGTCGTTGCCTGGAGATTTATTGGGTTCAAAAGAATTGAGGCTCTTCACACATTCTTCGATTGTTAACTTCCCTTCACACACTTGAGAATCGTCAACAGAGACACGAGGCATGAGCGGATTTTCCAAAAAAGTATTCATCAGATTTTCAGAAGGTTCTAGATTGTCCTTCTTATACAGACCAGAATAAAAGCCTTCAATAACCCCCCAAATCTTTTTAGCGTCAGTGACTAAGAATTCTTCTTTGCTAAAAACCTTACGAACTGAACTTTTAGCCTTCTGATGAGATTCTAGATTGAGGAAATATTTGTTACTTTTCTCTCCCTTCTCATACCAAGTTGCCTTTGAGCGAATGATTGCTCCCTTTGAAAATGCCTCATAAATATTTTCATGTTCCAATTTCAAAATTTCAAGTTGTTCAATATTCTCGGTAGTAGGGTTATTACCACACTTTTCCTCCAAGACTTTGCGAGAGTTTTCAATATCAGATATCTTTTGCCTTCTTTGTTGAGCTTTTTCCTTACTATAATTTATCGTTACCTGTCTTATCCTGTACTTAATCAAATCCCATAATACTCCTTTGTCGATTACCTCTTTAAACTCATCTAGCCAAAGTGGAATACTTTGGTTGATTAAAAGTTTAATATTTTCATCATTAAGTAGACTAGCGTTAAATTTTCAGAATGAAGGGCCATGTTTTTGTCGGTCTATATTGTTGAAGTGAAGAATGATCACAGAATGATCAGAATTTATTGACAGAATAATATCGGTTCCTTCAACGTCTTCTTGACAGACATCACTTATCAGCCAGAGGTCTAGCCTTGTTTGAATAAATAGGTTTCTTTGCCTCCACGTAAAATGTCGAGCGGTAGGATTCTGAATTCTCCAGATGTCGACTAGATCAAAATCAAGACACAAATCCTGAATACTTTTAACTGAAGCCTTTGAGGTGGATTTCCACCCGAGCAGTCAAGATCTGACCCAAACGTAACATTAAAGTCCCCACCCACAACAAGCTTAGGTTCATTATCTTTAATAACATCATTGATTGTCAAAGTCAGTTTTTCAATAAAATGGCGCCGTCCCTGAACTTTGTCAGGAACATAAAGGGTTACCAATAAGAAATTTGCTCCTTGCACTTCAGCTTCTAATACAATGTAGCGACCTTCATCGTCCGTCCTAATTGAAGTCAAATTGAAATCTAAATCACCTCTAACCAGAACTATTGCCCCACAACTATGGCAAGTACCATGTGAAAAGAAAAGCTTACTCTGCCATTGTGTTGTCCAGATATCTTCAACTTCTGCTGTACTGTAGGTTTCTTGTAAAAAAATAATATCCAATTTCTGTTCTTTTAACCACATAAAAATGGCTTTTCTCTTTGTAGCGGGGCAAATCCCTCGAACATTCAAGAATAATAATTTAAAATCAGTATAAGATCCTTACTATCGTAATGTTATTGCCTAATCTAGAAATGACAACTGGCACACAAGAAATACATAAATTAACAACGAAAGGAATAATAGCACAACGTACTGTCAAAAAACACAAAACATTTAACACAAACAACAATAGGACATAATGGCTGCCGATAATACTATCTAACACGCAGCCTATGGGATTTGATACCACTAATTGCATATGCAAAAAGTGCTCCCGCGGTATGAAACTAAATAAAGTTTAATATTAAATTATGACCCACCGAAAAAGAGAAAAAAAAACATGAAGCAACGAAACGTCCCTCAATAAATAATTTGTCCGGCTCTTTTCTACTAAAGTAGGCAGTTTTACCCTCCTCTCTTGCACGCTTTAGCCGTGGATATTGCTTCTTCCGATTTTCTTGTATCTCCTTAGGTAGATCTGCATACACTTTAACATCAATCTCATCCTGTGCTTCCAAAGCAGCCTTAAAGACCCGTTCCTGATCAGGATATCTAAGGAAACGTGCGATGATGGGGCACGAGGCGCCTTCTTTTTTCCTTCCGAGGTGATGAACTCTCTGAAACTCAATACTACGAGCCCCTTTGATATCAAGATCTCTTTCCAAGAAACAGTACAACACTTCGCTTGAGTCTTCAATTGTTGACTCTATACTTTCAGGAAGGCCAAAAAATCGTAAATTCTCTCTGCGGTTGTAGACCTCCTGATAGAGAAGACGCTCTTTAGGGATACGATACTTTGTTGATTGTTCCTGCTTTGTGTTTTGAGATCCTCAACTTCGGCATTTGCAAATTGTAAACCTGTATACATTTCTTTCAATTTGGTTTCTGCCAAGTCGGCTCTGACCTTGAGTGACGACACTTCTGATTGAATGTTGGTCATCATCTTTTCTAGACTAGTCACGTTCGCCATAACACTTTCAATTTTTTTTCCCATCTCGCCGAGCTTGTCTAGAACTTGTTGTAGCTTCGCTCCTATGTCCTTTGACATGTCCAAGGCGACGAGTATCTTGTCTGTTTCATTTGGTTCTTGGCTACAAACTCTTTTTCCTTGCGGTGAGGTCTCACTGTCTGAACTGCTGCTTCCCCTCTCCTTCTGCTTAAATCGACTTAAAATGTCATCGATATAAACGTATGGAGGCAAGCGGGAGAAGATTAAATTTGCGGGAGCGATTTTCCAACGTCTTCACTCCTCCATAGCTGACCCAGACCCCCGGTCAGTATGATTTGCCCTTTGATGCAATGAGCATTTTTTCTTTGACCTCTTTTGAAATGTAAAGTGCTTCATTGCGACTAAATAAGGGTTTTAGGTTGTTTAATTTCTCCAAGGTGCCTCGGGTAGATTTGAATAATAAGTGATTTTCTTTTTGTCCGTGCGTGTGACGGTTTCGTGCCTTGTATTGTCATGCTGGGCCCAGCTCATTAACGTTTTAAGCAGGATGTCAAATTCTCACAGATAGTGATTTACAGATCCAAATCTCGAAGAGATGGGTTGCAGCTGAAACAGAAGCTACGTCAGCTATGGAGAATTGCAATGTGACTCAGTCATGATTGCTCTTAAAACAATGAATTTTAAACTCCAGCTCGTTTTTCTATTGATGTGAGTCTTTGGACTGGAGCACGTGGTTCCTCCCTTGGTGATAACTTTTGAATTAGCTTAACAGCAATTACACATGATTTTCTAGTGTTTAACCAAAAATCTGGTTGCATAGGTAACCAGTTAGTTGTTAACTTTAAGCCCTGGTCCGAAATTAAAAAAGCTTGAGCCTTTTTGTTACCAGACAGTTAATCTGAAGAGAGACTTCAAACCTCTGTATTACACTATATGAAAATTAAAATATAGTCCTTCTATTTTAAAGCACAACAAAGGCTAAAAGAAGTTTGCATCTTTAAACAACAGCCTTAATAGCTGCCACAAAAATTAAATGAACAGGATATTTCTACAAAAAACATGTTCAGATTAATCGATGTTTGTCTTCTATGGGATGCATGCCGTGAATTATTGTGGTTCTTAGGGGACTTTTGTGTGTCAAGTACGTAGGACACAGAGGTAACAAAATCACTGGGAGAAAAGGAGAGGCGGCACCTGTTGTGAGAACCCGGTTTTCAATTTATTCCTCCAATTTAATAGCATGACAGTGCTACATCAACTGACAAAAAATTGATTGGAAGCAGATCGCCCATTCCTTTTCAAATAAAATAATTGCAGCAGAAACTGATTGAGTAAAAGATGCATTTATTGAATTTTATTACATTGCTGTCTTGGAGTTTACAATAAGACATTGCTTACCATTGGACTCAGTACTTTTTTCTCTGAGACGCTCAACTTCATACTTTATTAAGAAATATGTTACAGCAGTGTATAGCTGAAATGTGAATTACATATGAAATTTAAAAGGTATTAACATCTAAAAATATGTACAGTCATGAAGGCAAATATGTACATTAAAAAATAAGATTCAAGTTAAAGAGGTATCATGTAAACTGCAATAATACAAATGTCTTATGATCAAGGAAAAAATCTACGACTTTTTCAGACTGTTGACATGAAGCCATTGAAAGAAATACTATTCTTTAACCTATTAGTCTTACAAAGCAGGAGATTATAATCATGTGCATGGGCGCCTTAGGTTGAATCATGTGGAAAATACTGGGGGCATAAACTTTCGCTGTTTATGCTGGCCATTACTTGTTATACTCTTTTTAAATATGCTGACAAATGTTGCAATGATGTTCTGTAATTGTTTGGAGTCCTAGCCTACTGAGCACGTGATGTTACCTTTTATACATTTATAATATGAAAATAATATGTAATACTCTAATTTGTTCAATAATACTTGAGCAGTGAGTAGTGAAATACTGGGGATGGGTAGTCTGTGATGGAACATTACAAGCAGTGTGAAAATGAGAAATTCAGGTTTGCAACTCAGTTTTGTTTTTCTACCTTCCTCTAATTTTTCAGTTTCAGTTATTTCTTTTGTCACTGTTGACAAAGAAATGTTCTCAGAGGTTATTCTATCTTTTCTGTGTGCCTTTATTGTAGCTCTTTGAAGCTTTTGATTTTTCTCCTTACAGTGAACTCGAATGGTCGTTGTTTGGAAGGTTTTTTTTACAATTTTCTTGAAATTTACTGGTGAACAGCACTTTACAAACTGTGGCTGTTTAACTTCTTTATTCTTGTTTGTGTCCCTCTATTTTTATGTTCAAACAAGAAGTTCCTGTATTTAAGCTATGGCTGTTGGCTATTAATGTTGGTGGCTGCACCCATTAAAGATTTGGCCAGGTTTACAAAAGGATGCAGGTATATCTATGAAATGTTTTTGCCAGGCATGAGGAAATTTTTGAGGGCATGGTTTAGTGATTCATACATGTAGATGAACTTGAACATGACTTTTCATTATGCCCTTGTCTGGATTGGTGATGGTGGAGTGAAACTTTTTGCTGCTGGTTTATCTCAGGAGTGTTTGCTGTGACTAAAGAAAGACCACAGAGTTTGTTTCAGTTAATATCTCTGATTGAGCCCTTCAAGGTAATGAAAAACTCTCTGTACCTTCTGTTTAGAGTTTTGAAGGTTCCTGAGACCATAATGTCCTTGGATGGTTGCTTCACAAGTGCTTCTGGGGCCTTGAGAAGATTGCTTGCTTCTGTATCCAAAGTTTCATTGTTCAAGGGTTACAATAATATTACAATATTATTGCAATATAATTTCAATTTCTATAGTGCCAAAATCCTTATAGTTGTTATGGGTACTGGAAAATTTTGAAATTTACAATCGCATTCGATGCCCTCTGGTGCAATCTGGGGCCTCTTTTGATGATAAAAAAGTGTGATAAAACAGTAGCCTAAAAAATCAAAAACTACACCTTTCAGCATTGGCAAAATTCTCTTTTTTACATTATCACAGTATTTTCAAGATACATGGATACACGTAATTGATTGACTTAGATAATGTAATATTTGAGGACAAAAAGAAATGACATGTCATGCTATGAGATTGTTTTGATCTTAAAGATCGTCGTCTGAGAAGAAGTCACTGCAGAGCTCTCAAGTTGATTTGTTGGCAAAGAGTGAGATCTGCAATGGCGCAGCCGTCACCCTGCTAGGTGGGTCTGGGGGCATGCTCCCCCCAGGAAATTTTGAAAAATGGAAGTAGCTATGACGTGTTTTCCTTCATTCTGAGCAGAAATGTCATGCTTTAAAAATAAGTATTTCAATCCCAGAATTTTCTTTTTATTGGACCAATACCAACTCTTTCTTAACATTCTGACTTACAGTACATGTATCTAGGAGTCAAATTAACATGTTATAACGTTTGCGTTACATGCTGTCAGTGTGATCACTGAATCAGATCAATATGAACCCTCTTAACATTTCTCATTCTGTCTTATCCAAGTCAAATTTAATTAACATATCATACTGATTGTTCTACATGCTGTCACTCTGATCCCTGAGTCAGATGCTCTTTGTTTTAGTTCCAGGTAGCTTTCTTGGCACTGCTTAACAGATCTGTAGGTGTTTCAAATGGTGACTCTTTGTTGGCCATTTTGATTGTAAGCAGAGAGGCTAGTGTACAGTTAACCTGAAGAGAAGGCCGAAAAGCTGTTTTGTTTTTTCTAATTAGAATTCTAATAAGAGAAAAAACTCTTTCTTCACCTGCATTGGAATGTGGTAGAATAAGAACTGTTTTGGCTACGCTACTTATCCCACCAAATTTATGGCTACCATTTCCTAGTTTCAGTGATGACAGATATCCCCAGATCACATCCATGCGAAAACTGGATGATGATTTCTCTTCATTTTCCTCATTTGAAAGCTTTATTTGGGCTGCACCCCAGACTTTCTTGGGAATGTCTTCATTACTTAGAAGCCGATACTCCACAAACTCTTCTTGAAGTAAGTGGGTTTCCCCTGCGGTAGTTGGCAGAACTGTGGGATAATTCTTCAGAAAGAATTCTACATCCTCAAGAGAGGCATTCTCTCTCTGAAAAAAGTCCACAAATCTAGCATGGATTAGTGTATTATCTTGCTTGGTAAAACTGATCTTTCTTCCTTTCATCTATGTAACCCTTATTGACAAGTTTGTTAAGCAGTTGTCTGGTTGCAAAGCCAATAAATAGCTGCCCGTCTTTCAGTTGTTGACTTTCTTCTTCAAAATTTACTTTGTCAACAGTTTTTGCAGCCTTAATCTTGTCAATCTGAACAAACTTGCCCAGAAGGCATCGAACAAATTCATTCAACTGTCCATGGGCAGCATAAATGCAGGGATCCTCCCTCTGCAGAAACTTGTTTGGAAAGGTGAACGTTGGTAACCCTGCCTGAAAAAACAAATGGTAAACTTCTACCATGGGGTCTGCAAACTCTTGTTTTAGGCGCTTGAATCTAGTATTACTCTCTGTGTTGGACCGGGAATAGCTCTTCAATGCTGGATACATATCCAAGTTCCGTCTCACAGCTGTTTCCAGACTTAACCAACGTGTGTTCACATGTTCGATGACTTGACAGGATTCAACATTGAGAAAATCAGCAAATTCTACAGAAAGTGATTTTCGCTTAGTGCTCTTGTCAAAATAATAGTAAGTGTCTACACGCATGTCTTCCAGGCTAAATTTGGAGGTATCACAAAATGCCTCAGAAGCTTTGCAGGTGATGTTGTGTATTAAGTGACAGGGGCAACCCATGAAGTAGCAGGACGGACTTCTTTGTTTTACTCTGGTCATGATTGAATTTCTGCTACCAAGGTTGACATTAGTATCGTCCACACCAAATCCCACACGTTTTCTCCATGAAATGCCATAAAGTGATAACACATCATCGATTTTCTGGAAAATTGATGCTGCCGTTGCTGAGTCAGTCCCCATGGTTGCACACATGTCCAAAAACCGACTCTCCACTCTACCAGTGTTCACATCAAAAATCTTTACAGTCAAAGGATTCATTTTTTCCAAGCCAGTATCGTTTGAGCCGTCAGTTAATAAGGAGAATGGACTACACTTCATGATAGTCACCTTCTCCCTTAAGAAATGTTGGTGCTATTGCTCCATTAATCATACATGTGGTCTTTGTAGCTGCAGCGGAATACTTTTGTGCTATCTTTGAGTCTGGAAATAGTTTTGGGAGCATTCGACGTAGGTGGTTAGAAAATGCCAGGGGAATATTATTCTCAGCCATCAGCACTGCTATTTTTACCTCAGCTCTAATAAACTGAAATAACAATAGGATCCTTGCTTAGAGTATAAAACCAAAGGCCAAATTATTTCATATTTTACTAATGTTGTAAATATCTGTTGACAAAATTAAACTTCAAAACAGACGTCAAAGTACGTGTATGAAGCTTATTGCAGCCTAAACTCTTGTGTAAATAACCTAACTGCACCTCAGCATTGGGCAAGAACATTTGAAGTCTTACAATTTGCCAAACACAAAGTCGAACAAATAGCATTAATACAATATGTATTTCATTGGAAAGACTAGGTCCTTACTTTCTCTTGGATGTTGGAGTTTGGCTGTCTCAGAAAGCTTGTGATCGCCGGTTGTTTTGCCTGTTCCTTGGCGAGTGCAGTGTGCCCATCGCTAGCAATATGGTGCTTAAGATCTGCTTCTCCTTGATGGGCACATGACAAAGTACGATTGCAAACATTACAGTGGAATAAAGATTTGTCTGAAGTGACAGAAGAAACAAAAGGGTACTTCACTATCCAGTCTTTTTTGAACTTGCTTTTGTATTTTGCCGCTCCCGCATATTTGGCCTTCTTCATGACAGGAGAGTCAGAGTCCGACTCTGAACTAAAATCCGCCATTATGTGTGGAGGGTCCACGTTACCAGGTCAGCATATGTGAACATGTGCAATAGTCATGAAACCCATTGGCTAGAGAAACGCTGGCGCTGCACAAGAATAAAGTGTTCGAAGCGAGTACAAACCAAACAAGGACTTAAATCATATCATAAAATATAGTTTATTATAAAGGAACTTCACTAAAGGAGCAACAAATCTCAAATGCGTGAGAAATAATAGTTTCAGCTTGAGAGCCCAAGGTTGAATTTGTTTGCATGAGTCTCACACTCAATGCGTGAGACTTGAGAGCTCTGTTGCTGTCATAGTCTGAGTCACTGTCATCATCATCGTCTTTATCACCACAGTGACAGACTCATCAGAGGGCAAATGAAACAGTTGAAAGGCCTTTTCAGCTTGTTGCTCCTCTACTTGTTGTTGATCTTCACTTTCGACAATTTCAACTTCTTCATTTGTCTCCTCGTCCTCTTCCAGTCCCCCGTCCTCTACATGAGCTTCACGTACATTAGGTCCTGTTGTTGCAGGCTGAACTTGCCTTTCTTTAGGTATCATTGTCAGTGGGAGTCGTCGCCTCTTTGTGACAGATAACCATCTAAAATAGCAATAATGACAAGTGAAACAAAATGTGTTAACTAATTTATTGCTATAGGTTGATTCTGAGCTCAATTCTCTTGTTACTGCAAAAAAGAAACTGTTTTATGTTGTATTACATGACTAGTTTAAAAAGTTTCCTGATACCTCTGAACAGCAGCTTAAATGAGATCTTTTGCTTCCTCGAAGAATGGTTTAGGACTGTTTAAACTAATCATCATCAGAGAATTCAGCATTGTCTGGCTCAACCTACTTTTTTTCTGGTCTTCAGCCTTTTGAGGCAGCTGACACCCCTGCAAGGAAAAAGAGTGTAATATTATGTGTTTGAAATGCCCCTTAGCTCTATTTCTGTACATTACAAGTGGTATTTTTGAAAAGTCGCCTCTGAATTACCTTTTAGGCCAGGCATTTGAAACTGGCAGTACAAGTCCCACTTCTGCAATTTGGCTCAACAAAGGGAAAATATCTTTCAGTGTCAGGACCTTTTTCATGCATGAATCTGAAAATAAATGTAATAAAAGTTAGGTAATCTATTATACAAAGATTTAATTTAAAGCAATTGTAAGGGACAAGACATACCTATCGTTAACACTTCCTTTTGCTTCCATGATACAAACTTATATTTTATTTTCTGCCACTCTGACATCAGTTCACTGTGATCAAGCTACAAAATAATAACAGGAAAATGCCTTATTTGGAAGTGTAAAGTAAACGCAACAGACACACAAACAAACTGGATACCAGTTAATGTGTAACTTCGTGCTTATTTAGAACCCACTAAAGGCTAGCATTCAGTATGAAGCTTCATGATTTTCTCCCCAAGACTCAAAAGAGTGGAAAGTTAATTGTTATTTTCCCAGCTGATCAAGTATCTGAGGTCAGCATGGAGGCTTCTGGAGTATTAAGAACGACTAGCAAAGTTACTCCAAAGTGTTCAGCCAACTGTTTTATATTATCTTTGCCGTAGTCCTGGAAGAAAGGGTCATCTTGATGTGGAAGGTTTTCTAATTGGAAGATAGAGAATGCAGCCATAACTGGTAGTTTCTCAGATCTCTTCTCCAGGTTTGCTACTAGGGCGCCAAAGTACTTTTGTAAAAATCGCGCTGCCCATTGGTAGGTCTGCTCGTCAACCGCAACATCTCTTGCGATGGCAGATAATCTCCCTAAGGTGCATATTGGTAGAGATATATCAATAAATAATACTTATGCTAGCAAGTAAAGCCAAAAAGTGAGAAAGTAATTAACACCTCAATAAGACATTGACCTTCAGTCGTTCAATCTGTTTTCAGTGTTTGGAGCATCTGTCCTGATTTTAGGCCTACAAGGGCATCCTTAGTACACTGTAGGGCAGGCTCGATGTGGTGGAAATTTACCTTTCCTCTTTGAAACGTCATTTAGAGGTAAGCGAGGTGGGGCAGAACACTGCAAAATGTACAGCGCGGAAACAAATTTGCCACTTTTGATGTTTTTCAACAGACCATAAGCCATAGCACAGGGCTTGAAATTAAAAAAATTCTCCATCACAATTTGTGAGTAATTCCTAAATTAGTCGCAAGTTCGAAAATTTTAGTCGCAAAAGTAACCAACCCAAACAAAATATAATACAAGTAATTAGACAGTTATTGACAAGTTAACATCATTTAAGTTTATTACTCCAACAGCTTCTGTGAATTACCATCGAAAGGAGGGTAAACATTTATTTGCTGAATAAACTAATGAAATCTTCTGAGTCGTTCACAGTTCAACAGGAAAATAACTATTGTCTCTAAAATACAACATCCACAAATGCCTTCCGCAGCTTAATAACATCATACAATCCAAACTACCAACTTTCGTAAACAAAAGATAAGAATATAATTCCGTAGTCACAGAATCAGAACTAAAACTACATGATGCTTTACGAAGGAATCACAACGCAATCGTGCGAAGCTATGCGTATAAGCTTATTGTAAAAGTACCAACCAAGTCTCACGGTGCAAAAATGATGGACTTAGTCTTTGAAAATTTGGTCCCTAGAAAACTAATTATTTACAGCATGATGATATGTTGCGCAAATTTTGTACCTGGTCAGGATATCCTACAACTTCGACTTAGCGCTCTCGCAGCGCCATGTTTCTCTTCTTCAAACACGGCTGTGGAGAACCTGTGGAGGACTAAGAAATACCGGGACTTCACCGGTATTTGAATTTTAATACCTGTGCGTGGCAGGGAGATTCATTCCCGTGTAGAAGAATTGAACTGGAGTTAAACAAGCAGTCTCTGTTTGCGGTAGCTTTGATTGCAGGAAAACGTTCGCCTTTGACCTGGTTGACATACATAGCTTTCTCATGAATATTCTCTTTGCCTCTTCTAAATTTTCATTAATAAGAAGAACCTTAAAAGCGGATAATTCCTGGTCATTTGCATACATTGTGAAGCAAAGTAACCTACCTCTACCGGAACCGGAAATTAGAAACGAAGGTTTCCTAGAAATTTCATGAGCGTTGCACGACGTAGTTTCTGAAAAAGTGCGCCCGCGATACGTTTCTCAGCAAGAAATCAACGATAGAAGTCACGCAACATTTAACTTGACTTTTGCAGGATTTTTCGGATAAAACTACAGCAACCAGTAACAAGTAAGGACACAAGGCTGTTAAATATAATTTATATGCTAGGCTGTAAAATGCTCCCAACATCGCTACCAATGGTGAAATTTTAGTCGCAAAAGTGAAATCTTTATCCGCAAATGCGCCCGATGTAGGCGCAATTTCGAGCCCTGTAGCATCAGACTCTGGCAAGCTGCTAAGGGTAACCATTACAGCCAGAAGGTCTTCATAAAGTGAAGCGACTGAATTATTGAAAGACAGCCACTTTGTCTTACAAGCTTTCTTCGGCTTTTTGAAAACCTTCTTCTTTGTTTTCTCAAGGAGACATCTGGCCCTTAAATGTTTCGAAGTGGTCGCCAAGTCCAAAAAGGTAGTAGCCACTTTTTTCTGAGAAACAACACAAAAAAACACTATGTGAAAATGCATTACATCCTAATGCCAAATTGCAAGGTTTCCTAGCATTAGGAATACCTGAACGTTTTTGTTCATATGTCTAAAGGAAAGCAAACAAACAAGAAATGGAAACAGAAACTAACATTACCAAACTTTTATAGTAAGTTAATAATATGTTGTATTTATTCTGTTTCAAATGAATGAATAAATTATTTATGTGATGTCGAAGACGTGGGAAGTGTTTGCACAATCTTCTGAGCCAGAGGCTCATGTTAAATGCTTGACAAACTAAAAAATACAAACAAGATAAAATGTGAATTATGCATATACAAATAGTAAGAAAAACCTACAACCATCGTAATTTTGGGAAAATTTTTTAAGAAACTATTTTCTGGAAAAAAACCCTAAAAAAACCATAAGTACATGCATTAACATAGTTTAAAACGGACTTATCGTTATAAACTGATTAAACTAGCCCAAGAGTATGTAAAAATGTAAGAATAGATAAAGTTATATACAGTTCATACACTAGCACCCTGTAAAATTAACATTATTCAGGCGAAAGTGCTAAAGTGCTCGAGGGTTTGGTGACAGTTGGCAGTTGATTCCATATATGGGCAATCATGTATAAATAAG